CGCCACGGCACTTCCCTACCTATTTCCATTATTGGAGCTCAGGGGAAAACGTAGATCATCAGGGTTATTCATTTCTACCCACCAAGTAGCACTCTGGCTCCTGCCTTTTATGTCCTGCCAGCCAAATTTGCCATTGCTGACACCAGTGTAAATTACTGGGGTTTCTCATGACCGGACTACACCAAGTCCCTAAGGTTCCAGTGGCATGCCAGGTGCATCAAGATGCAGAGGCAAGCACTGCAGGTGCTTCAGCACCTAGGCCTGGTAGGTGCTAGTCCTCGTGGGATTCAGTAACCACTCAGACCCATGGCTAAGCGAACGGGTATTTTACAGGGCTGGTAGGCATGGAAATGGTTGCAATAGTGGTTCTTATTCAGGTCCCTGGGCCAGTCTAACCGAGAGACTGGGCTCTTCATTCCTAGTGCCTAAGGTGCCATCTCCAGTTCAGCTTCCATTCAAGCAAACAGGAGCTTGCAGACTAGTCTCAATCAGTGTCCCTCATTGAGACCCTTTCTGCACTGGCTTCCTGCCCAGCTGCTGCTGTTCTCCTATGCATACCACACTAACCTGCACCTGGCTGTAATATTAACAGCCACAATCTGTTCCACATGCATTTCTGTATACAGTTCTTGAGAAATCTGCTCTGAATTCAGCTTCTCTGCAGCTCTTCTTGCCATGTGGCTACTGCCTCCCAGCAGAGCCCAGACAGCTCTTGGTTCAGGATCTTTCCCCTTACCTGGCCAGGGGAAATGGAAATAAAGTGGGATGGGGGACTGATGTGAGTTGTAGTCCCCTGCTTAGCAGATCCATCACACGGTGAATCCAGAGTAACTCCTCTGGAATCAATGGTAATACTTTGGATTTACAATAGCGTTTATGAGATAAGATTCTGTCCCCAAGTCCAAAATTAGCAATGATGTAAATGGTAATATAAGTTATATGTCAGATGTAAGTTATTCAGACAATACATTTAAGTGGGTATAAGCAGTGAAGTAGTATAACTTACACTGATTTGGCATTGTGTGTGTTTACAACACAAATGTAACTTATATTCCATTGGCAGGGAGCAAGGTGGGAAGAGAATAGCAGGAAAAGCTATTAACAGGAGAGTTTGTGTTTGTTTTTCCTGCTACAGATCCCACACTTAATACCATATCAGTACAAATTACATTTGATTATAATTTACATCAGTTTTCTGACCAACTTACACCCTCTTGTCATCAGAAAATTTGCCCATAGACTTCCATGGGATTTAAACTTGCTTCCTAATTTGGCCTCTAATATTTATTACACCCTAACGAAAGAAATTCAATAAAAACACCACCATCACAAAGCCTGGTCCAAAGATAAAAGGGTCATATTCTACTCTCACAATGTTGTAAATCTGGAGTAACTCCACTGAAGAGTTACTCCAGACTTGCACCACTGTAAACAAGAACAGATTCTGGCTAGAGAAAAGTCAGTATGCAATCAGGTATTCTTTCTCTTATAATTAGTCCTACCATTATTATGAAATACTACGGGATGATCATGAACATTCAAAATCTTATAAACGTGCATATAAGATGCCTCACAGTAGCTTGTCAAATAACTGTTATTGAGCCTGAGTCTGCTCTCACTTCCGGTACACTGAGGTAAATCTGGAGTAACTCCAGATTAATGAAGTTAATACAATTACCTGGGTTTTAAACGAGTGTGAGTGAGACGAGAATAAAGGCCATTATGCATAATAGTTTAGAATGTCAACCAAGTTTTTATTTTAAAAATAAAAATAATTATTTTAAGAACACACTTGTCCACTATCGCTGCATTATGATGTAAATATGGTTCATGGAGTGTTTTCTGATTACTATGAGATGCTCTCTAGGAGGCCTACAATTACATTCTGCACCAATACATTAGTACAGTAAATGAGGAACTCAGTGACATAAGGTTAATATTTCCATTCTTTGGTTCAGACGAATCTATTCTCAACCACGTTTCTTCACATTCACACCTCTTACCTCTCCAACCATTTTCACATCTTCCCGGCCATACCATTCGGGCTCATATACTTCATGAAGAGACTCTGTAAGCTTCTTAGAGGCCTCTTGCATGCCTAGGATTTTGTAGAAAAACAATATATTATTCTACACAACACAGGGAATAGTGGGTCAAATCTTTATTTACTTCCACCTTTTTCCCCTTTTATATAAATAGGACCCTACCAAATTCATGGTCCATTTTGATCAATTTCATGGCCAGAGGATTTTTAAATTTGTCTATTTCACATTTTCAGATGTTAACATCTAAAATTTCACAGCGTTGTAACCGTGAGGGTCCCAACCCAAAAAGTACCCAGAGGTGGGACTGATCTCCCCTGCCCGAGAGTGGCCAGTCATGGGAAGGACAAGTCCTGTCCCTCCCTAGCTTGGCCAGGACTCACAGCTAGGAGCCCCCAGCTGGGGCACTCCCAGCAGCAAGGGGGAGATGGGACCCACCTCCACAAGGCTCCTCTGGCTGCAAGAACCTCCGGGGCTGTTGCCCAGCCCCAGAGCTTCCTGCAGCATGTAGAGGTACCCAAAAGTGATCTCCCCACCGAGAGTGGCCGGGACTCACAGCTAGGAGCCCCCAGCTGGGGTGTTCCCAGCAGCACAGGGGAGATCAGCTTTCATGGGGAAGGGCTTATTTCATGGTCTGTGACATGTTTTTCACGGCCATGAAATCGGTAGGGCCCTATATATAATGTTTGTTGGTGTGGTAAGAATGTAGCTTTCAAAGAGTTTAAACAAAAAATAAACCTTCATGTTCAGAGCATAAACCAGCCACTAACTACCTGGAGTTAACAAGAAATGTCCTTTGTAGTCTATTATGAGTGTGACAGAGTAGGGTATCTTTGTATACACTTATGAACTCCATTTTGTATTATGTGCTGAAAATGTGTCTAAACTGTCCCAAGGCAGTGTATTGAATTACATTCAGATAGCAGCTCTGCCCATTAAGATAGTGGCTCTGCGCAGGAAAATCACTTGAAAACTTGTTGAAGGACTGTCACTGAGAAGCCAACAAAAAGGCAATCTGTAGCTATCAACTTTGAATGCTCTCAGCTCCTAGCTCACCCCCATGGAACAACGTTTTTCTATGCAGGTGGTGCTAGCATGAATGGGGGATGGGGCTGAAGCATGCCAGGGGAGCACATGGCAAGCAGGCAGAGACACTGTTCAAGAGAGCATGCTACTCTGTGCAAGAGGCCAGCCAGTGTAACACGTAAGCAGGATGCACAGGAGAGACTCTACCCAGCCTGAAACACTGACTCGCATAAGGGGTGAGATCAGACTGGGGAACGCGGCCTTTTTTCATTTTAAAAATCTGTAAGTCTTGAGTGCTTTCAAGAGTAAAGTGACTTTGGTTAAGAAATTCCTTTGCTAAACCTGTGTTCCTTGCTTTCTTGCCACTTTGTCCCTGAAGGGGTTAAACAAGTAGTTCAGAGAGACCACAGCCTCAGCAGAGCTCTGTGGGAGCTTGTGTACATGACTGGTAGTTGGGAGCTTGGGAGGATTGAGGCACAGGTTTCAGGGTAGCTGCATTGCAGTCCCATGTCCCAAGAAGGGATCAGACAAAGGGTCTGAGCCTGGAAATGTGCCTAACAAACCCAAAGCTAGAAACAGTGACTATAATTCTGTTCAAACCCAGTTGGCTTGAAAGCACATGGGACTCAGTGTAGGAGTCCACTCGCAACAGACTGGTGGTCTTACAGAGGGGTACTGTGCCAGGTTGTAACAATGAGATTCTTATACCCTCCTTTGAACCAATGGCCATTACTGGTGAGAAGATAGTAGACTAGCTAGACCATTTTAATCACTCTGTAATATACAAAATGTCTGATTTCTTCTCACTTACATTGATGTAAGTAAGAAGTAACTCCACTGAAGTGAGCACAGGTAACATCAGTCTAAATCTGTGAGAGGAGCAGTCAGACCAGTTGATCTGGGTTTGATTAAGTAGATGGGAGTGTTGCCATTAATTTTAATAATGGATGAAATCCTGGCTCTATCTGCAGAAGTGAACTGACCCTTCCTGAGATAACCTTAAGGGTCAGGCCAACATTATAATTACATGCAAACTTTATTTAAACTTTTATATAAAACCTGCTGAAATGAGCTGAATTCCAACAACAACAAAACGGAATGCTTGAAAAAAATCCAGCTTTTTAATTACAAAAAAATTGCCAGCCAAAATCTTTGTTTGCTACTGCACATCTGCTCTGCCTTGGAAATATCTCTAGTGTAAGCTTTAGAATTAACCCTTAATTGACTGAATTTCAGAATAGCAGTGAAATTTCGATCTTCCCTGGAAAGAAATACAGACGTTACCCCCTAAATCGGGAATAGTCTGAAACTCCTGTTAGAATACTCCAAGGAAGGTATTTTGTGATCTGCTCAGTGACCCTCCCACTCATTGCCCACTCTTTGACACACAGGACATTAAAAGTAAAATGATAAAGTACTTTTCGGTTTACAAAAATGATTTTCTATGTAAAAAATAAAAAAATAAAAAAGATTTTTCTTTTCTGGCCTCTGCATGGAAGCTTACGGGAAGGAGGGGCACAAGGGTCAAGCACAATGGGAGCTTTTGCATTCAATCTTGCACCATTAAATCCATGGGTGTCTCGCCACTATATGAGCAGGCTGGGACCAAGGAATGCTGGAGCATCTCAGGGCTAACAGAGGTTTGTGTGGAAGAGGGTAGGAGACCAAGGAAGGGGAGAGAGCAGGACCAAGCCTCATCCCACCCCCGTGGCAGGCCAGTGGAGCTGGCTGAATGCAGAGTGGCGCTTTCACTGCACTCACTTTAAAGATAGTGCATTCTCTGTGTGCTTCCCCAGAGCAATAGGAGACACTGTGTGCAAGGCTTCACAATGCTCCGACTGGGCTTAGTGCACCACTCCCAGTGTAGGACTGTTATTTAATGCCACAATCTAGCCCAGAGTGTTCAAATTGATGGTAAGGGCTTAAGGAAGATTTCCCTCCCTCTGCTGGAATTCACTCTCCTCTCTAGATATGGCTACCCGATCCTTGCTAGAAATGATGCATCACTGGACCTTAAAGGTATTACTGATTTTTTTTTAATGTGATTTAGAATGTACCAGACAAAATGGAGAGGATTTTCAAATATTTTAGTAGAGCTCTATATCAAATCCTCTTTCTACTGCCACAAATTAATTCAGCCAGTAAAAAAAGAAACAAAGCAGCATTGTTGCTTTTAAGGAATACTGTGTTCTGACCATTCACTCAATAAAAATGCACACATCCTTACTCACACTTTGATCCACTCTGAAACATCATTCTTCTGCTCTTGTGCCCTTGAGCACACTGCGTACTACACCCACAACATATGTTCCTGCAGTACACACGCCAACAAAGCCCTTTGCTTTATATCTAGCTGCTGTTTACATTCAACTCAGACACAGATATGATACTGTACAAACAAAAATCAGTGCTGGGTATAAGATCATCTCTATGGACAGATACTTTCTTTTAAACATTATATTTTATATAAAAACAATTAAAAAGCACATAAAACAGTATATGTATAAATAGATGTACAAGAGGAAATAGCAAATAAAAACAACAACAAATACCAATAACAAAATTCAACATTCATTATTTGTAAAACCTGAAAAAACAAAAGGAAAACCAACCAACCAACCAACCCCCCTGAACATGTAGATATCACGCAGGGCATCAATTTTTAAAATGACTAAATAGATAAATAAATAAGTGAGAACATAACCTACGAGTATCGTGGATTAATACACACACAACTGCAAAACTGACCAGACGGGCTCATATTTTTTCCAAGCGAGTCATTTTTTTCCATTAATGCAGTAGTAGAAAGGACAAATATTATTTAAATGTTGCAGATCCTAGTGATACTTCTGTTTAAAAAAAATGTAAAGACTCTTTATCATGCTTGGCCTGTATCAAAAATACACTAGAAAAGTGCAAACATAATATTTTATCAATGCCCAATAATCTGTTCTTTCCCCATATTGCTGTAGACCCCATAGACCAAATTCAGATATAACCTAAGATAATGGGAGTTGTACCTAGTTGCACCGCAGGGCTAAATTTGGCCTCGTAACTATGATTCTTGCCTCCTGACTATTGTTTTTATGCTATATTTATTACTATATTCTTCATGTGTGTATGTATATATGTACAATGATCTACAGCCAGGCTTTCAGCGTGTGGCTTCCCATTTGTATGTGTGCACACAACTGTCTTAGCATGAACTCACTATGTCCAGGAATTATTGATTTGTATTCACATTCAATGTTTGTCATATACTGATAACTCTTATGTGTTATTCAATACTGAAATTAATAGGATTAGTGACATTCCTAGGCTGTGTGCTGTCTCTTTCCCTCAACTGCTGTCACTGAGAAAGATAAATTACTTTTAAAAAGCCATTTAAGTTCTGAGGAATGGTAAAATAATTTGTACCAATGATGAGCAATTCGCAATTCATATTTAATATCAATTGTTTGAATTAGTATTGCTTGTTCTTGGTAATTGGATCACTTACTATTCAATCACTAGAAATGATGAAATAATTGAGTTACTTGGTAAAATCTGTGCAAAATAATCCAGCTATTGAGGGTTGTATCTTTCCCCTGAGAGCCTTGCATGGATGAAATCTACTCCCTCTTTCCATGCAGAAGAGCCACCTTCCCTGGATCTTGCAAGGGCTCTTAGCAAGATTAGGGATCCACACATGCAGAAGGACAAGCCTGAAGGCAACAGGCCAGGCATGGGAGGGAACAAGTCTGTTCCTACCTACTCTAGGAGTAAATTGCTTTAAACATTATAAAACGTGAAGAAGCGGAGACCTTCCAAGATGTGATGCTCCCACTGATGGGTGTTTCCAGGGGCAGCAGGGTATCGGAGTCCATAATGGCACAGCATCCATGAAACCAGGCTGCCAGGGAGTCCAAAGCCAGCAGAGAGCCATGGATAGGGTTCAGAGGAACAAGGTTGCTATGTGGTGGGCCCTGAACTCCAGTTGCTCCCTTGTGATCTACACATTCTGGGGCTGACCTCTTTGTTCCAAATGGAGAG